GAGTCAGGGTTTGCGTTACCGACGTGGTAATGATAACTGAGAGTCACACCAGGGACTTAGGGAAACTGAGGCAGGAGGGGAGCCCAGAGTCCCTGTGGCAGTGCGGAGAAGGCCGGGCTTGCTGCCCCCGGGGGGACGGGGGGGGGGCCCTGACCTCTCCTACCCTCGCTTCCCCTTCCAGCCCCTGCTCCTGGAGCCAGGGCCCCTCCTTTACAGTTGCGCGGCGGCTGGGAACCCAGCTCCGCGCCCCGCCTGCCCCGCCCCCACGTGTCCCGCATATTTTCCACGCGGCTACAGTGGGATCGGACACGCGCGCTCCCCGCCCCCACTTCCACCCGGGTCGCGTCACTGTCCGCCTCCTCCTCGCCCCCCTCCAGGCTCTAGCAGCCGCACCGCTGCTCCACTCGTCCCCCACCCCCCTCCCGCCCCCGCTTTCCCCTCTCCCTGGTTGCCCCGCGCGCCCTCCCTGCTATCCTTCTCCCTGCGGACCTTCCTCTCTTCCCTTATGGGCCAACTTGACGCCGAAATTTCTTTTCTGCCCTTTTTTGGGATGTTTCCCCCGTGGGGAGGCGGGGCCGGGCCGGGGCACGGAAGGGGGAAGGGGAAGAGTTAACTGAGCTGCCGGGCTTCGGGAGCCGGGGGAAGAGATGCCCCCTCCAGCCCAGGCCGCAAGAAGCAGCCCCCAGAGCCGGGTCCTAGGGTGGGGGAGCATGAGGCGCGGGCGCAAGGCTGTTTTTGTTTTTCCTCGGGGTAGGGTGGAGGGAGAGGAAGTGGAGAACCACTTGGGAGGAGGGGTATGGGGGAGACGAGCGGAGGAAGCCTGGAGGGAGCGCTTCATGTCGCTCCCCAGGGGCAGAGGGTTAGAAGACCAAGCTTTTGCTGATGGGGGTGGGAACCGTGGGAACCTTGGGCCCGGGGGCCGGGGCGGGGGAGGGGACCTGGACAAGTGTTTAGATCGGCTCAGCTGCCGGCTGCTGCACGTGGAACAAGCCTGACCTGGTAGTGTTCACTCCAGCCCATCGTCTTGCTTTCCCCAAACTAATGCAAGGCACCGCCATCTACCCGGAGCCAGTGCTTGAACTCTGGGCCTTATCTAGCGCTCCCCTGTTCCTCACTTCCCACATCCACAATCCTGTTGATCCTACTTTCTACAAATGAGGTTCCTCTTCCAAATCTCTGGGGTTGCCTTGGGCAACTCCTTTTATTATCTCCTGCATGAGTCTGTTGTGGTCCTGGTTCCCCAACTCACTCATTCAACTAGTCCTCTACATTGCTACCAAAGATCTTTTTAAAAGTTGGTGCAAATAGGATCCTAAAATCCTCCCAACCTCCTCTCCCTCCTTTTGAGGATAAAAATCCACACTTCTTAATGTGGTATAGAAGGCTCTTTGTTTTGGCCTCTGTCTACCTTTCTAGCCTCATCTCCTTTCATTCCCAACCTCACCCCCAATACACACAACTTGTACTTCATGCTGCATTCATACTGAGCTGTTGTAGGCACTGGAAATAGCCATACTTTTCTTAAAGCTTCCATCTTTTATGCCTTCTGTTCCCTCCCTAAATGTTCTTCCCTTGGCTGATTCCTGGTGGCATTACTCAGATCAAGTGTCTGGTTCTTCTGAAGCCTTCCCTGGCCACTTCCCCTCCCACCCGGCCACCTAATAGGTGTATGTTCTCTGTGCAGGTTCCTGTCATTCTCATCATAGTCCCTGTTATAACTGTTCTTGTCCGTTTCCTCCACAGGTCTGTAAGTCCTCCAGGACAGGGACTGTCTTTTTCAATTCTGAATCCCCAATGCCTAGCATAGCTTCAGGCATAGAGTTGGCACTTGATAAAATAAACATTTGCCTGATGAATTTTTTCATGCACCAGGTTCTGGGTGCCCAAGACACTATGTGGGTCTAGAGCAGGGGTTGGCAAACTTTTTGAGCTGCTGGGCGTCAGCAAACTGCGGCTTGCAAGCAAAATTGAAAGTGAAAACAAAACTATCATAGTTTCATTTATAAAATTTTTAAAGGATATTACTCACATAATGGTGATTATGTAAAAATATATTTATGGCTCTTGAATAATTTTTAAATTGTTATGAGGGACAGGATTGGCTCTTCCAGGGGTCTGCAAACTTTTGAGACAGAACATACGCCAAGAGCCGCATGTGGCTCGCAAGCCAGTTTGCTGACCCCTGGACTCTAGAGGAAATCAGTCTAGTGTGGCAGCTCTCTTTTTGGTCTTAGAACTAACTCCTTGTACGTTTAAAAATTAAAGTATAGTTTGAAGATCCAAAAAGCTTTTGCTGAAGTGGTTTGTATTTATCAATACTTACCATATTAAAGTGGAAACAGAAAAAAATTTAAATGTTTCTTAATTCATAAAAATAACAAGAAATAAACCCAGACACGTTAACCATGTAAACATGTTTTTAATGAAAAAAATGACTATATTCATCTCCTCAAATTAGTGAAAGGATGGCTGTTGTTTACATTTTCCCAAATCTCTTTAATATCTGCCTTAATAGAGGACAGCTGGATCCTCACATCTACTTGGCTTTCTGTCTGTTGGTTTGAAGAACTACATATGAAGAAAATACAGTCTCACACAGAAACTAAGTTGGAAAAGAGAGTGAGGTATTTAGAGCCTTTTCAGGTAATTGTGGATATTATTCTTGATACTACACCACCGCTTGACAAATGGTAGTTTTTAAGGGCTAGTTGCAATGTGGAACCTGAAACGTTATCAATAACCTTTTTTTTACTATTTTACATTAAAATCCATTGGTCTGTATTGCACTTTTGTTGGATTCTTTATGCAGGGATAACTTTGTAACATCATACACTGGTTATTTGGAAAACACTGATTGACCGAGCTATGCAGATGTTCTGAATGTTGACACATTTCATATGTTATAAAAAAATCACGTTCTTAAATATCATGATTGGTTTTCACAGAAAAGTCTGAGTGTTAAGTTTTGGGAAGCTGTGAAGCTTATGGTGACAGTTACAAGGTTTCTAAAATTCTAATTTTCACTTGAAAGCTCAAATTGTATCATTGGCAACAAACACCGCCAGTTTTTTCTCTGATTTGACAGACTCACATTGTTCCTTTCTGAGAAAAGTTCTGCCTGATACCCAGGTCTGATAATCATGGTTTGTCTGTCAGTCATTCTTTCAAGTCAATATGGTGCTCCATGAAAAAAGCAGCTAGTTCAGCTCAGGAGTCAAATTGTCTAAGTGCTTTCCTCGATACACCGTCATCCTTAGGTATGCAGCGGAAGTGCTCCACACTTACTTCCCAGTTCATCACACAGTGTTAAAAAGCCTTGTTATTCAAGGAATAAGAGTTCATAAAACTAATAAGCTTTAACTGCTACATCAGGACAGTTTTAAGTGAAGTTAGCATTTATTTCTTAAATTGCTAGTGCACAGCAGTGAGCATACAAAGACTATTAGTACAGTTTGGGCCACTGCCTTGATTTGTGCTGAGGCAGTTTTACCCACTGTTTTTGCACTGTCAGTAAAATATTGATATTGTGGAAAAGGAAGATGTCTTAATATTATGAACATAAGCTTGACCTTATGGACCCAAGAGGGTCTTGGGAACCCCTGAGGGCCTGAGGACCACATTTTAGGAACTGCTCGTCTAATGGGTATTCGAGTCTCTCCCCAAAAGGCTCCCCGAGGCATCACTAGTGAGAGGTACATGACTGGGGACGTGGGGATATGGCAGGGAAGTAGGATCATGGCTGGAGTTCAAACAGTGTGGACTGCCAGTTGTTAGGAGGTTGGAGAAGGGATTTGATCTCTAAGGTCCTCAACTCACGATGCTAGGACACTGAATCTGGGGTTAGAGGGCCACACCAGTGTGTACTGGAGTTGCCAGCCCTCTGCGTCAGAGGTGATAATACATCTCTATTTTCCAGTGCTTAGCACAGGCATGGCTCAGTAAATAGTGAATGAATTAATCACAGGTGATAGGAGTGTTGGTATGAAGTTGGCACCTTCCCTAATGGGCTGCCCTGGGGAAGACAAGGTAATTCCCTCTACTTTAAACTTACTCCCATGAGGAGATTTATGGCTTCAAATAGGTGAAAGGTGCTCAGAGTAGCAGCAGATGGGTGGTATTTGTGTTCTACTTGGAGGGAGAAGCAAGAAAATAACATATTGGGCAACAGGGTTGGTTAAAGAATTGTGCATAAAAATAGTGGCAGACCTAACCAGTAGTCCATGCAGTGTGGGCAGAGGGGTGAATGTGGAAGGAAGTGGAAACACACAGCACCCACTTCCCTCGTCCCTGACCAGCCCCCTCCACTGAACCTCTGGATTAACAGGGCAGCTAGAACAGGGCTACCAGCATCAGCCCCAGGCCACTAGGGGAGCTTTGCCCCCTAACTATATAGTCTCACCACCTGGGTCAAGCATTATCAATTCTTTTTCTTCTAGTGCTGTTCTAGGCAGTAGGACAAGGCCTCAG